CCCCCCCGCCTCCCATGCTAGGCGTCCCAGGGAAGCTCCCGCCTCCTGAGGTTCCCCAGACCTACCAGGACACGGCGCTGGTGCTGTGGAAGCCAGGGGACAGCCGGGCACCCTGCACGTACACACTGGAGCGGCGTGTGGATGGTGAGAGTAGGGAACAGGACCAGAGACAGGGCAGAGGACTGGGGTGACAGGTGCCTTCACAGGACAGAAGTCCCCTCCCCTGGCTGCCTCTTCAGTGGCCTGAGCCCCTCCCTCATGTTGCCTGCAGGTGAGTCAGCCTGGCATCCTGTGGGCTCGGGCATCTCTGACTGCTACTACAATGTGACTCACCTGCCCATCGGCGTGACCGTGCGGTTCCGTGTGGCTTGTGTCAACCGGGCTGGGCAGGGGCCCTTTAGCAACCCTTCTGAGAAGGTCCTTGTCAGGGGCGTTCAAGGTCAGCAGAATGGGGGCCCGGGGAAGGACGGGACCCTGATCCCAGGGCCACCCTCCTGGGAACACCGGTTTGGCCCGGGTACCAAGGTGAAGATTTGCTTTCTTGCCACTTAGATTCTTCAGCTCTGTCATCTGCTGCTCTCCAAGCCGCTCCTGTTACCTCAGGGCCAGCCAGGGCCCCACCTCCTGACTCTCCTACCTCATTGGCCCCTTCCCTTCCCCCAAACGCAGCTCTCATAGCCCCTCAGGCAGCCACCCTCAGCCCTTCATCTCCTCCAGCACTCCCCAGCCAGGCCTTGTCCTCACTCAAGGCTGTGGGTCCACCCCCCACAACCCCTCCACGAAAGCACAGGGGCCTGCTAGCTGCCACACAGCCCCCAGAGCCCACCCCCCCTAATGGCCAGGTCCCACCTGGTGTGCCCAGGTCTCCTGTCCCGGACATAGGGACCCCTCAAGGGGCTAAGCCAGTGTCTTCCTCTACACCCCAGTACATAGTGACTTCCTTTGTATCCGCACCACCAGCCCCCGAGCCCCCAGCCCCTGAGCCCCCTCCTGAGCCCGCCAAGGTGACTGTGAGGAGCTTCAGCCCAGCCAAGGAGGTGATCAGCTCCCCTGGGAGTGGTCCCCCCATCTCCCCCAGGCTGGAGGGTGTGCTTCGACAGGGTCCCCCTCAGAAACCCTACACCTTCCTGGAAGAGAAAGCCAGGCAAGCAAGAGGGGTTGGGGCAGGGGACGGGGCCCAGGGAGGATGGTGGAATGCAGGGAGCCCAGGAGTGACCAGGGTATGGAGGGAGGGGGACGTGAGCTCTGGACCCTGAGCACTGTGGAGCTGTTTTCTCTGAGCCAGGTACTAGACTAAGTTCTTTAGCCATGTGATCTCATTTAATCTTCCGACATCTCTGAGAGGGAGGTGCTGCATTATTATCATTACCCATTACTCATGGGGAAGCTGAGGCTAGGTGCAGAACCAGAATGTGGGGCAGAGCTGGGATTTGAACACAGCAGCCTAGGATTCCACTCAAGCCTGCATTCAGAGCCATTCTTGCCCCAGGGTTCCCTGTTCCCCACTCTAGCCCTCATGATGGAGATGTTCCCTGCTCTCCTCTGAGCCTTGGTGTCCACCCACTCCCACCCCCACAGGGGCCGCTATGGTGTTGTGCGCACATGCCGAGAGAATACCACGGGCCGGACATTTGTAGCCAAGATTGTGCCGTATGCAGCCGAGGGCAAGCAGCGGGTCCTGCAGGAGTATGAGGTGCTGCGGTCTTTGCACCACGAGCGGCTCATGTCCCTGCATGAGGCCTACATCACCCCACGTTACCTGGTTCTCATCGCTGAGAGCTGTGGCAACCGGGAGCTGCTCTGTGGGCTCAGCGACAGGTAGCTGGGTCTCTCCTAGGGCATGGGCTGCAGCCCTGGTAGACTGGGACATCACCTGCCTCCCCCCCATCCCCCCCAGGTTCCGGTACTCAGAGGATGATGTGGCCACGTACGTGGTACAGCTGCTTCAAGGCCTGGACTACCTTCATGGCCACCATGTGCTGCATCTGGACATCAAGCCAGACAACCTGCTGCTGGCCTCTGACAACGCTCTCAAGATCGTGGACTTCGGCAGTGCCCAGCCCTATAACCCCCAGGCTCTGCGGCCCCTGGGTCACCGCACGGGCACGCTGGAGTTTATGGGTGAGGAGACCAGGCTGCCATCTGGGCGGGTGGTTGAGTTGCTGCAGAGCTCCCCCAACATCACCCACATCTACCCTGTCATGGGGTCTCCTTCAGCCAGGTATTGAGCACTTACTATATGCTAAGCAGCGAACTTAACTTGGATTTTTTTTCTATTGATTTTGACAATATCCCCGGAGATTGGCACTTTTACAGATGAAGAATCCCAGAGTGGTGCAAACAGTTAATATGCTAGATTCTTACCTGAAACATTAGAGGTTCCAGCCCACCCAGAGGTACCTCATAAGAGAGTCCTGGTGATCTGCTTCCAAAAAGTCACAGCCATGAAAACCCTATGGAGCAGAGTTCTACTCTGTACACATGGGGTCACCGTGAGTCAGAATTGACTCGATGGCAGCTGAGTTTGCTGTTGTTGTTGTTGTCTTACAGATAACCCTATTGAGGTGCAGTGAAGTTAAGTCTGTAGTCCAATATCAGACAGTTATAAATGGTAGAGCCAGGATTAGATGAAGCAGGAGCGAAAAAGACTCAATTATTATTTTATATAAAACAGCTACCATTTAGCTACCTGCTGAGTGCCTAGTGCTTTGTGTTCATTATCTCTAGTCCTTAGAACTATTCTATTTAAGCCACACTTTACAGATGAGGAGAGGAAGCGTCAGAGAGATTTAGTAAATCGCCCACGCAGGGTCCCCTGGCTAGGGAGGTGTGGGCCTGGGGTAGAACCAGGCAGGCTGACTCAAAGGTGTTTTTGAATCTGGGTGTAGACCACACTCTTTGTGATGGGTGCTGGTGCCTACTTCAGAGCTGATTGGCACCAGGAAGCTGGGTCAACTTGCCTTGTTTCCTATCAGCTCCTGAGATGGTGAAGGGAGAACCCATTGGCTCTGCCACAGACATCTGGGGAGTAGGCGTGCTCACCTACATCATGTGAGTGCCCTGGCCCTCTCTTCAGCCCCATGGTTCTAGGACTCGCCTCTGCCTACTCCTTCCTCACACCCCCAACACAAACACACACATGTATGTGCACATGCATGCACACATATACACAGCTCCTGCCATCCCACACATCTAGGGGCAGAGTGGCACCCGTTCCTCTCATCTGGGAGTTGGCCGTGGTCCATGTGTGTCAACTCGGCTGTCTCCCACAATAGGCTCAGCGGACGCTCCCCATTCTATGAGCTAGACCCCCAGGAAACAGAGGCTCGGATTGTAGGGGGTCGTTTTGATGCCTTCCAGCTGTACCCCAACACCTCCCAGAGTGCCACCCTCTTCCTGCGAAAGGTCCTCTCAGTGCATCCCTGGTGAGTGGACCCCACACCTGTCAGTCCCCCAGCACTACTGGTCTCTGGCCTTAGACTGCCCTGCCCAGTCAATGCTGCAGATCCCCAACTCCTCCCCTTCCCCTGATGAGGAGTCCCTGGATGATGCAATCAGTTAAGTGCTCAGGTCCTAACCAAAAGATTGGCAGTTCAAATCCATCCAGAGGAATTTCAGGAGAGAGACCTGGTTAACTACTTCTGAAAGGTCATAACCATTGAAAACTTTAGGATGTGCTATTCTAATCTGATACTCCTGGGTCCCCCTAAGTCACAACTCAATGGTAACTGGCTTTATTACTACAACGATGACTATTGCTTGTACTATGTACCTGTGAGATAGACAGACTCCCCAGTCCAGAGATGAAGAAACAGCCTCAGAGTAGCCCAAGATCACAATTCAGGGTGAGTTCAGGATTGGGACACGGGTCTCCAGGAGCCATTCATCCTGGATCACTACCTCTGAATTGCCTGGACAGGAGCCGGCCCTCCCTGCAAGACTGCCTGGCCCACCCATGGCTTCAGGACGCCTACCTGATGAAATTGCGCCGCCAGACACTCACCTTCACCACAAACCGGCTCAAGGAGTTCCTGAGCGAACAAAGGCGCCGCCGGGCCGAGGCTGCCACCCGCCACAAGGTGCTGCTCCGCTCCTACCCTGGCAACCCCTAGTGGCATGGACCACAGCCCAGCCTCGGGCTTCAACTCCGTTCCTGTATTGCTGCGGGACATTCCAGGGCCCATGCTGAGCCGGATGGGCCCCGGGCTTGGACACCACCAGCAGCAACATCCGGCCAGGCTATACCTCATGGACCTGTAGGACAGAGGCCTGGGGCTTGGGCCTGCCTCCACCCCTGCCAGGGCAGTAGAGCCCTTGGCCAGGCTGGTGGGCATGGGTGGGAGCAGAAAGAGGGGCAAGAAAGGAATGGGAAAGTGAAAAGGGAGAGAGGCAAAGGATGGGAAGGGGGGAACCTCTGCAAAGGTTCTTGGGGTGGGAAGAGTGGTACCTCGGGAGAGGAGGAGGAGAGCCCAGGATGTCAGGCTGGGAGTGGGTGTCAGGGAAGCAGAGACAGGACTCAGCCAGAGCAGGACCCTGAGGAGGGGCAGCCAGATGGGGGAAGGAGAGGAAAGAGGGCTGGTGATGAAAGAAGGGTGGAGGGAGTCTGGAAGGAAGGGCCACTCAGACCAGCGGCACCTCTAGTCCTGTGGATACAGCCACACTCCGTGCTAGCCTAGGGATGTCCCCGTGGCCCCCTTCATCGTCTTTGAGTTTCCCATCCATATTTATTTATTTATTGACTTTTATGAAGTTTTCCTTTCCACCCAATCCCTATTGCTCATGTTGTCCTGATCATCCACCCCCCACCTTACCCCCACCCCCAGGCATTCAACTGCCTGCGCAGCTGTCTGTCTGTCACAAGGAAAATAAAATTGGCAAGCAGCAGGACCCATGTGTGATCTGTGGGGAGGGGTGGCTGAGAAGTGCCATAAGGCTTGGGATGGACATTTCTCTGGGCCAGTGAAAACCCAGGCCCCCTGGCCATACATACCTTTAGGAATAACCAGTGATACACTCCATGCTGGCCCCTGGCCTGCTACTGCTGGCCTGATTTTCTTGCAGTGTTTGGGATCCTGGTGGTGGTGATGGTAGTGTGCCATGGAGTGGGCTGTGATTCACAGCGACCTTGTATCGGGTTTCTGAGGTTGTGAATCATTATGGGAGCAGAAAGCCTCATCGTTCGCTCATGGAATGGCTGGTAGTTTCTAACTGCTGACCTTGAGGTTAGCGGCCTGACTCGTAACCACTATGCTATCAGAGCTCCTTTGGGATCCTGGAAGAACCACTGAATCCCCTTCTCCAATCCTCTAACTAGGCTCTGATGGCCCCCCACCTCATCTCACATGTCCCCCCATCACACCTTGGGGCATGCTGGGCCTGTGTGATAGGCTAGGCCAAACCCCAATCCTGGTCCACTGCTTTCACTCTGCCCAGGAGACTGGCCAGCTCTGGCCTTGGGCCCCCCCCCCCCCAGAACAGAGGGGGTTTCATTACAACTGGCAGGAGCAGGTGGAGTGAAGAGCTGCACAGCAACCCAAGGCCGCCCAAGCCCTTGCTCTCTGTGTTACAACCAAATCAGCACACAAGCATCAGCTGCCCAGGGCAGCTGTGAATGCTCCTGCGGGCAGTGTCTGCTGCCAGGGGGCCACAGGCGAGCATTTTTCTCAGGCTGAGAAATCAGCCTGAGCTGCTTTTGTCCTCAAGGCAAACTAGGACTCCTGTTGGTGTCAAATCACTCTGACTAGCCACTCCCCTGCAGTACCACAGAATGGTCACTACATCCTAAACTTATACTGTCCTGTCCTAAGAAGAAGTCAGGTTCCCCTGGGCCCAGAGAGACCATTTACTCTTCCTCCCTATCTTGAAAACTCTGATCTTGTCAAAGGAAAAAGGAATCAAACTACCCACCATGAGCAGAGAGTAGGCATTGTGTGCTGCTGATTGAAGTTGAGGGTAGAGTCCCTTGGTTCCAGCCCAAACAGCCAAACTCCCTTCCAACCTAGCCCAGCCTCTGGCTTCTCAGTATCCCAGGGAAGGGGCAAACCCCAGCATTATAAAATAACAGGATGTTAAAGTCATCTGGAAGGGACCAGAGAGGCACCTTGCCCACCTGTCATTTTACTGATGAAGATAAACAGTTTGCCTGTGAGAATCTCCAATCCCCTCTTCACTGTAAGTGTTTTCATGTAAAAATGAGGTGCCTGAATTCATATCTTGATAAATGGTAAAATTCCTTTTCTGTCCCCCTTCTGATCTTGAGCTCTCTTCCCATCTCCATTGGAAATGGCATGTGAACAGTTTGTTCCAAGCTCGGAGGAGCAAAGGTAATTTATGTCAGCAGTGCTGTGTCAAAATCGCTCCAATCAAAAGGTGACAGAGCTCCACACCTGGTTGGCGGGTTACAATTGGCATGAAGCATTGTTCCTACTGGGTGCCTTGGCCCGACAGACTAGATCCCCAAGGAGCTGACAGAGCACATTCACTCCAGGAGATCTGATGCCCCAACAACAGTTTATGCCCAAGCAGTCTAGACAGACCTAGAGTTGGGGTGTCGTTAGCAGTAGTTGTTAAGTGCCGTCGAGTCGATTCCGACCCATAGTGACCCTGTATAGGGTTGCCAAGGAGCAATTGGTGAGCTTGAACCATATAACTTTGCAGTTGAAACGACTTTGCAGTCTGACGCATTGGCCCACAGCGCCACACCAGGCAGGAGTAAGGACCATACTATATCAGCGAGGGGGAAAGGAGAATTGGAGAGAGGACCGTTCTCAGAAATCTTTCCAGTCTCTTCTCAGTTTAATCTCAGTTTACCGCCAGGGGGCACAGTCTGGAAATCATGACCCTGGAAGTAAGGCGCTTCCTGATTGGTCCTGACAACCACGTGGCCCTCTTGTGATTGGCTATTTGGACAGAGAAGCCCGCGTTTACTTATGCTTCATTCAGAGACACCCCACAAACACTCTCACCCCCTTATACGACAGTGTCCCCTGAAGGACTTGGGGTTAACTATCCAGGAATTAATCTGAATGTAAAGCGACCCCAACAACGAACTGAATCTCCTGTCCGCTAGGAGCCAAGTCCGGCGGTCCAGAAGTGGGATGGATACCCCTGCCCTGGGAGGGGATGGGGCCGCGTCCAGCTGTGCAGCTGTCCCGGAGCTGACGCTCAGTGCGCCCTAGAGCCTCTCAGATTTCCCCCTAGGGTCCGCTGTAGCCGCTGAGCCAGCATCCCAGGCGTCCTCGGGCTAAATAAGGAGCCCACATGGGTCAGGGGCGGAGGCTAGGGTCCCGGGGGGCTTAGGGCAACCACGCCAAACAAGGCAAGGAGGGGAGCGATGTATAAAACCGAGGCTCGGGGTTGAGAACCTGCCCGCGCCCCTACTGTGCCATCCAGAAGGGCTCCGTGCAGCCTGCAACCCCGCCGGCCGACACAAGTCCCAAAGTCGCCCCAGCCACGGTGAGTCTCGAACCTCAGGCCGGTCCCTGGTTCTGATGGGGCTGGGACAGGGCCGAAAATCGGTTCTCTGGTTGGACCTCATATTTGTTGTCCGCTCCCCAGATGTCCAAGGTAGCTCCCGCCAAAAACCCAACGCCTTCGGCCCCGCCCCCGGGTTGTACCCTAGATATCAACGACCCCCAGGTCCAGAGCGCGGCCATTCGCATCCAGGCCTCGTACCGAGGCCACAGGTGAGGGGAAACCAGGGAGCCCTCGGGGGCGGGGGGTTGGGGGTGGGAAGGAAGCTGGCGCTGCAGAGGCCTGCTCCAGCGTTGGCGGGTAAGCGGAGGCTGGGCACAGTGACAGGGACCCCTAGGTCACTGGACCTGGGAAGGAGCAGTTCTGAGGTGTGAAGTAGTACCCTATCAGAGTAGATCATTTTATACTGGTTCAGGAGCAGCACATATACCCCCTTCACCCTCCTTTAGGGCTCTGGTGAACTAAAAGGGTGGGCAGGGATTGCGGGCTGACCAGAGTCGTGGCGTAAGCACTATGAGCTCTAAGTCGGCCCACGCGTAGGTCACGGAAGGAACTGCGCGAGAAGGGGCCACCGCGGGTGCTGGAGCCGCTGAAGGACGTGGTGCTGATCGAGGGCAGTGCGGCCAAGCTGACTTGCCGCATCTCGGCTTTCCCGGACCCGTTCATTCGCTGGAGCAAGGACGGCAAAGAGCTACGCGACGGGCCCAAGTACCGCTACATTTTCGAGGATCCTGATGTAGTGGCCTTGGTGGTGCGCGACGGCGAGCTGGCTGACCTGGGCCAGTATAGCATCAACGTAACCAATCCCTTCGGCCAGTGTTCCGACTCGGCGCGCATTCTCGTGGAAGGTATCCAGCGCCCCGGGAGTACCGCTACCCCCGGCGCCAACAGCTCAGCCCAACGCGCCGGTCTCCGCTAGGCCTAGCCCAGTCGGGATAGGGTCGTGTCTGGCACAGCCCCAGCAGAGACTGGAGCGCAGGTCAGGGCGTGGCGCCGCGCCCTCCCCGCCTCCCTCCCGTGCACTTCCTTCTCTGACTCCAAATATGGCTACACCAGGCTGATAAGTCACGGTGGGCTTCGATCTCTCGATTCCAGGGCCCTAACCCCCAGTGAGATGGATTGGCAATACGGCAGCATCAATGGGCTCAAGCATGGCAACAATTGTGAGGTTGGCCCAGGACCGGGCAGTGTTTCGTTCTGTTGTGCATAGGGTCGCTATTAGTCGGTACCGACTCGAGGCCACCTAACAACAACAAGCTCACAAAGTGAGCCTGAGGCAGAGTCAGAGTTAAGCCCCGGTCTTCTGGCCCCCGATCCAGGGCAATTTCCGTCACCAGGAGCTGTCTCCAAGGCTCTGTGAGCTTTGTGAACTGAGAGTCTGAGTTCTCTCCCGCAATACCTCAGATCCTCTAATCAACCATTTGCAATAGGAAGTACAGGGATTATCAGTCCCGTTAACAGTCGAGGAGACAAAGCCCCAGAGATGTTAATGATCTGTCTACTGTCACACTACTGAGTTAAATGCTAAATGCATGTCGTATTTAGGACTTGGATATTGGCTGGGAGGTTAACCCCCTGCCCCGCCTCACCTCCAGGTCTCCCATTGGGTCTATTCCCATTCCTTTTCTCTAGTCCCAGCGAAGATTCAAAAGGGACCAGACAACACCAAGGCTCGTAAAGGCACCACGGTGAAGCTGACTGCGGCGATCATGGGCGAGCCTGCGCCCAACGTGGGCTGGACCAAGGATGGGAAAGACATCGAGGAGGACGACAGGCAAGGCGGGGACTGCGAACAGGGCCGGGACTGGAGCCTGGGCGGGACAGGGCCGAGAAGTCCGGTAGGAGTGGAACTGGGGCCAGGGACGTGAAAAACACGGCTGGCTGATAGTCGGGCTCTGGGCGTTAGTAAACTGACTTGATGCCCTGCCCTGCCCTACCCCATAGGGTGTTCTTCGAGATCGGCACCACCAACACAACGTTGACCGTTCGTCGGGCCACGCCTGCAGACAGCGGCAAGTACGAGGTGTACGTCGAGAATAGTCTGGGCATGGACCAGAGTTTCGCTCGCGTGGACGTGGCCTGAAAGGGGCCCGCGGACCTCGCTCTGGCTCCAAGCCCAGGGACGAGCGAGACCTACAGCCCTCCTCCGTCTTGCTTAATAAAGCTGCTCTCTCTGACTTCCTCATCATCTGTTCTGTTCTTTAACGTCTCTATACCCTTTTTCCAGATACAATACCTGTATCCATAATTATTCCAGACCCACACACCAAGGTCACAGAAATTTGGGGTCAGAGGGGACTTTGGAAAGGGCTTTGGAAAGTGCTGCTTTACAGACTTTACCTGGAAGATAAGCGTTTTCCACGGCCTACGAGGCTTATCCAGTGGAACTGGGAGTAGAGACTGACAGTCTTCTCACCTTTAGTATCCCTTAAGATTCGCCTTCTCCCGGTTGTTTGCGCTCAGTCCCCGCCCCTTTCAGTACTGGCCACACCCCTTCTTATCTCTAGTTTCGCTTTTCCCCGGGACTTGTACGATGGCTCCTGCGCGTGTTCCCGGGAGCTTAGGTCCCCTGCTAACCTTAGTTAGTTAGGTCCCAGACTCGCCCCACCTTTATTTTCATCTATCGTGACCCCTGAATCACTTGACCACAGCCTGCATCCTTCCATAAATCCCAACTCGCGCCTCTCAAAGAATTAAAACGGGAGTGGGCGGGGGGGGGAAAGACCAAGAACTACAATTCCCGGCGTCCCCTACAAAGAAGTCTCGCGATCTGCGAGAAGACACGTGCGCGGAAGGGGCGACAATAAACGAAAGGCAGACCTGGCGTAAAGGGTCTAGTGGTAAAGAGAGTTGATGATGGGGTGTTGAAGGGGGATGGAAGTGGGGGACAGCTCTTAGTGGAAGGACAGGCTCGGAAGCCCTGGCCGGCTCTCCGCACGTTTGCGCCAGTGTTGATACTACGACTTCTGGTTACGTGGGGGTAGGGTTTATTGAACAGAGTTAGTTTGGCGGTTCAGAGGGTCGGCAATCAACCCTCGGAATCCAAATGCCCAGCGTCAGCCTTCAATATTGGGACTTGGGGACTTGGTATGTTAGTGATTGGGAATGCAGATAATTTGTATTTGGGGTTCATAACCTGGAGGTCAGTTTTATGGCTCAGGATTCATCATCTAGAAGGGTTTAACCAGAACTTGGGGTTCATCATATGTAGATCAGTACTCAGTACTTGGAATTCACTCTTAGGATTAAATTAAATATCTGGGGCTTACTTGGTTTGAGGGCCAATATTTGGGACTCACAGAGTTTAACATTTAGTATGGGGGTGCAGAGATTTGGCAATCATTGGTTTGCAGACATCAGCATTTCTGAGTTTGGAGTCTGAGAAAGAGGTCTGTGCTGAGTTTTTGATTTGCTGTTTGTTCATGCCTAGAAGGAAGTCTTTATGAGTTCAAATATCAGGTCTGAGTTTAGTAAGAATCACTGTGAGGTTTGGGGGTCGAATGAAATCTCAGTTGATATTTGAGATTTGTGAGCATCAGGCTGTACCCTACTGAATTTTGGCTGTAGCACCTTGGGAGAAGACTAAGTGTTGGGATTTGGGTTTGGAGTGTGAGATCTGAGCCCTATTTCTCTGTTGGGATTTGAAGTTTAGGTAGCAGTCACCATCATGCTCAAAGCTGTGATCCTGATTGGAGGCCCCCAAAAGGGTGAGGAATGTTGCCTTGCTGGGGCTGGGGGTGGAGGTGGGGAAGGTGTGGACTGGAGTGGTTGGTGTAGTGGGGCAGGGCAGAGAAAGACAGGAGACTGAAATGTTCTCTCTTCTTCCAGGTACTCGCTTTAGGCCTTTGTCTTTTGAGGTGCCCAAACCACTGTTTCCTGTGGCGGGGGTGCCTATGATCCAGCACCACATAGAGGCCTGTGCCCAGGTAACCCCAGAAGGCACCCCTCTCCCTCCTCCCCTCCTGAGCATCTCCGTTCACCCCACATTTTCCCTTTTCCAAACATGATATCTCTTCACCAGCCATAACTCCAGGGACCACCATTCACAGATGACAGTCAGAGTGGCACCCCTGAAAGTGTGGCCCTGAAGTTGCCCTGTTTTCTCCCCCTAATCTATTCTCTCATCTGTCCTCCTGTACAGATTTTCCTCCTGTCTTTATGGAATGTGAGGTTGAAAAGGAATTTAGGAACAATCTAAAGCCTATGTTGTTCTTGAGTGTCTTCAAGTCGATTCCGACCGATAACGAACCTGTATAGGGTGTCTGAGGTGCAGCTGGTAAACTTGAACCGCCAACCTTGCAGTTCAGAAGGCTTTGTGGTCTGGCGCATTAGCCCACAGCTCCATACTCTAAAGCCTATAGCAAAACACAAAATGCATATCCTTGCTCACTGTGGAGGATATTTCTGTATTGCTTTTGGTATTGGGACAGATAAGCATGGGTTCAGATCCAGGCTCTGCCACATACCTGCTGCGAGGCCTAGAGCAAATTTCTCAACCTTTTGAGCCTTAGATTCTAGGACCTGGTGGTAAGTGGTAGCCCTTTCCACATGCTGATCTCAGACTCAGGCTGACAGATTTTAAAAAAATGGAACTCCGTGAAAGGGTTATTTTTTTAATGTAGTTTAATAGGCAAAATTGTTCCAAGGTGAATCCCAGTTCAGGTCAGGGACAAAGGGAAAATAATAAGGGAAGAAAGAGGCCAGAGTGGTTGAGTGCCCAGGGACCCCACCAAAGAAACCCAGCCCAGCTCACTGTCATCAAGTTGGTTCCGACTCATAACAACCATCTGTGGGATTTCCCAGACTGTATATCTTTATAGGAACAGGCAGCCTCATCTTTCTCACTTGGAGCAGCTGGTGGGTTTAAACCACTGACCTTGAAGTTAGCATTATTCTACAGTGCAACCAAAAATTTGCCCAGTGTTTCTTCCTAGCAAATGAAATATTTTTCCGTTTAACCTCTTCTCATGTCTTCAGGTTCCTGGAATGCAGGAGATTCTACTCATTGGCTTCTACCAACCTGATGAGTCCCTCACCCGCTTCCTAGAAGCTGCTCAGCAGGAGTTTAACCTTCCCATCAGGTGTTTGTATGCCCACACTTATCAGGAGGGGTACCCCAGCCTCGGATTCAGTCAGCATTTCCCAGACTTCATTCTCACACTCTGTTGTTAAGTACTGTTGAGTCGGTTCTGACTTACAGCAACCCTGTATAAGGTTTTCGAGGAGCCGCTGGTGGGTTTGAACTGTCAACCTTGTGGTTCACAGTCCAGTGCTGATTCTACAGCACCATGCCAGGGAGGCTTTTTATTTTGGCATCTCTGGAACCCAGAATACACAGCAATTCCTGTGGGGCTTGGGCAGGAGACCCCCAAGGAGCAGGAGCAGGTGGCCAGGCACATGGTTTGTCTCCTCTGATCTCACCCATCTGATTTTGGGGTCTGTGGGGACAGGTACCTGCAGGAATTTGCCCCCCTGGGCACAGGCGGTGGTCTCTACCATTTCCGGGACCAGATCCTGGCTGGAAGCCCCGAGGCCTTCTTTGTGCTCAATGCTGATGTCTGCTCAGACTTCCCTTTGAGTGCTATGCTGAATGCCCACAGATGCCAGCCCCACCCTTTCTTACTCCTAGGCACCACGGTGAGGGGGCTGGGAGGGAAGGAGGGTGAGGGCCAGGGCTAGGGGAGTGATCCATCCCCAGAGGTTCCTGAGAGTCCGGGCAGGGGCAGCCCTAAGAGTTGAAGATGTGCCAGAAACCCCAGTAGTAATGGCCATCTCAGTAGCAGCCTGAGTCCTTTGGCTGTTCTGTGTAGGGAGGGGGAGGGCTGCTGTCACTTCTCACCCTTTCTGAAGGCTTGTCAGTGGGAACTGCGTGCTGGGTGCTAGAGGTGAAAGAAGAGGAAGAAAACAGGCCTCACCGCCCTGGAGCCAGGGAGTCACTGTCTCCGTGTCTGCCTTCCAGGCTAACAGAACACAATCCCTCAACTACGGCTGTATTGTGGAGAATCCACAGACCCACGAGGTAAGAGCAATGGTGAGTGGGGCTGGGGGGGCTTGCCTTATGGTCTTTGTCCTTCTCACCCTTCTGCCTGGAAAGAATGTGAGCCACTTTGGGACGAGCCTCAGAAAGGGGCCCTTCATCTTGATAATCTCTTAGGACTCAGTAACCCCAAGTGTGTCAAGAATAGAATTGGGCTCCACAGAATTTTCAGTGACTTACTTTTTTTTGGAAGTAGATTGTCCAGCCGTTCTTCTGAGCATCTCTGGGTGAACTCAAAACCTTCAGTGTTTTGTTTTAACATTTTAACCACTTAATACCACTGAGGAATTCTGCAGTTATCTCGTTGTTGTTGTTGTTATGAAGTGACGTCAAGTTGGTTCTGACCCATAGCGACCCTGTATAGAGTTTCCGAGGAGCAGCTGGTAAGCTTGAACCATTGACTGCAGTCCGAACAGCTTTGCAGTCTGGCGCATTAACCCACAGCGCCACACCAGGACTCTTACGACCCTTTACTTTAAATAGTGATGTCCTCAGAGAGCCTGGTGGAGAAGGAGTGACATTTAATGTCTCCAGATGTGGTACTTCCTTGGATGTAGGCACTGTGGGGGAGAGTGTCCAACTTTGCCTGGATGGGAATGGGGAAGGCTTCCTAGAGGAGCTGAGTTGAATTGAGCTTTATGGTAATGGGAACAAGAAAGCATTCATTGTAGGCAGAGTGAAAGATATGTGCAAAGGCACAGAGGCAGGAAATGGCGGGTTGTTGTTGGATGCCACTGAGTCACAGGGACCTCAGGCATCAGAGCAGAACTTCCCCATAGCATTTCCTAGGCTGTAATCTTCTGGTGTGGTGCTGTAGGTTAATGCACTGAATTGCAAAGTTGGTTTGAACCCCAAGGTTCGTGGTTCAAGGTCACTAGTTGCTCCTCCGAATTCCTATACAGGGTTTTTATGGGTTGGAATCAACTTGACGACACTTAACAATAGCAAGTCTTTTCAGAGAGTCCTGGTGTGGGGCTGGTGGGATAAAGCACCGGACAGCAAGGTAGGTTTGAGCCACAAGGTCAGCAGTTCAAATTCACAAGCCACTTCTTGGATACCCTATACAGGATCTGTTGCTATGAGTTGGAACTGACTCAAGGGCACTTAACAACAACAACCTTTTCAGAAGGTGACCTGGTGGGGCTCGGCTGCAAACCAACAGGTCTTCCAGCTGTTCCTCTGCAGAAACGACCTGGTGATCGCTCCTAAAAATGACAGCCTTTGGAGCAGTTCTAGTCTGTTTCGTGGGGTCATCATGAGTTGGGACAAGTGTGATGGTATACAACAGCAACAACAATCTTTATGGGTCTTTTTTTCCTTTAGAGCCACTGGTGGGTTTGTTGGTGGGTTTGGACCTCAGACCTTTTGATAAGCAGCCGACTGCTTAACCATTGTACCACCAGGGCTCCTTGGACTCCTAGTGACTAGAGGGCAGTGTAGAACTGTACCTTAAGGAGTTCTGAGACTTAACTCTTTACTGGAGCAGACAGCCTTATCTTTCTCCCTCAGAGCAGCTGGTAGATTTGAACTACCAGCCTTGTTGTTAGCAGTACAATGCTAAACTCACTGTGCCACCAGGGCTCCTTGGAAACAGCCTCGTGCCTCCAAGACTCTCTAGGTGGGGACATGATCAGCAAGGCAGAGGGTCTCTGTCCTTGTCTGTGAAACTCCTTGCCCAAGAGTTTGACTCCCACACACCCCATTATTTGCTCATGCTTCCATATAAACTTAGAAACATAATCATATAGACGTATATCCATAGGGACACTCTTGTATTACATGTTGTTGTTGTTGTTAAGTGCCGTCGAGTTGGTTCCGACCCATAGCGACCCTGTACTGGGTTTCTGAGGGTGTAAATCCTACGGGAGTAGAAAGCCTCATCTTTCTCCCGCGGAGCGGCTGGTAGTTTCGAACCGCCGACTTTCAGCCCGATTCGTAACCACTACGCACATGTGTTCTAAGTCTCGTGGCAGGCATCAACTAAGTGTGAGAGAAACAGCCAAAAAGGACCCAATCCCTGCCTCTCGGGTCCCCTTAGTCTAGTGGGGAAAACAGTAAAAAACCAGCCATTGCAAAGGACACAGGTGCCACCGGAGAGGTGTGGCTGAGCCCAGAGGTGCCCATGCCTGAATGGTTAACTCTGGGGCAGGGTCAGAAGAGTGGGGAGAGACTGCATTTTGGAAAGATGAGGAGGTGGGAAAAGGGCATTCCAGTCCCTGGAGCAGCATGCAGTGGTGTGATGCTGTGTTCCAGGAGAGCTGGAAGGCGGGGTCAGTGGGAGGGGACTTAGTCTTGAAGGTGAAGGGCAAATCTGAAATTACCACAAGTTTAAAACTGTGCTCTACAGTTTAGAAAGACCCCTCTGGCCACAGAGCAGAGGAGCAGGTAGAGCCCACTATCAGAGGACCTGTGGCAGTGGTCCCTTCCTCTCCTGAGTCCCCACCACCCTGTCCTCAGGTCTTGCACTATGTGGAGAAACCCAGCACTTTTGTCAGTGACATCATCAACTGTGGCATCTACCTCTTTTCTCCGGAAGCCCTGAAGCCCCTCCGGGATGTCTTCCAGCGTAACCAGCATGACAGGCAACTGTGAGGCAGGCCCCATGGCCCCATTACTCCAAGAACCCCCAATCACGATGCCCCATGCCCCCCCTACCCCCCACCCCCACCCCCTACCCCGGTCTCTGCAGGCTCCATCTCTACCTGCTTACCTTGCTTCTCCTCCTCCGATCTCTCTTGTCATCTCCAGCCCAGTCTCTCCCTTCCTAACCTCATTCTGTCCCTCTTCCTTATCCATCCCAGTTCCTTCTCTGTCACCGTCTGCCCACTTCCCTTCTGGTCCATTTCTCTCAAGTGTCCCAGAGATGTCTTTTGGAACAGACGGCAAGACACACCCAGGCGCACACAGGCTTGGGTGCAGACACATGTGTTCTCTTGGGCTGAGGCCCCCCTTGGAGCTAGTGCCCAGAGTGCTGCTCAGTTCCCAGGGTCCCTCTGGGCTGAGGCCTGTGCCCTTCTCTGCATCTCCTGCCTGCCTCCCCCTCCCCCAGCCCATGTCCAGGCTCATCTGTGCAGAGCCATGGCATTCCCTCCCCGTCTCTCCTGGCCTCTGTCTTCTCACCCATCTCTCTCCCCCTTCTCTCTGTGACTGTCTCTGCCTCGACAGCTGCCTTGCTCTGGGGTGAGTCTGTGCAACATCTCACCCATTGATGGGGAGGGGTTAGAGGAGTGAATGGGGAGGGGAATGTGAAAGTAGGGGGAGCCCAGGTGTGGTCCAGCTCCTGGGCAGGGATGGACAGCAGGTAAGTATTTGGGGCTCCCCAGTGATGGCGTCCCAGCGTGAGGGGGCTGGTGGGCAAAGTGACTGGATCTTACCAGGCCTGGGGAGGGGCCAGGAGCCCAGGAGTCCGAGTGGGCTGGACCCCCAGCCAGAGCTCAGCTGGGAAATGGCTCTTCTTCCTCTCTGCCAGGGAGGACTCAGCAGGCCTCTGGCCGGGAGCGGGCACCATCCAACTGGAGCAGGACGTGTTCTCAGCGCTGGCAGGGCAGGGCCAGATCTATGTGTACCTCACCGATGGCATCTGGAGCCAGATCAAGTCTGCAGGGTACACAGCCGGGGTGGGGAGGACAGGCTCTCAGTGACTTAGAGATTCTGGGGTGGTAAGCACAGGCTCTGCTGGCACCTGAGCTCTCCCCTGCCCTATGAACCCCCCCGCCAGCTCAGCCCTCTACGCCTCCCGCCTCTATCTGGGCCGATACCAGTTCACTCACCCAGAACGGCTGGCCAAGCACTCCCCAGGCGGTCCACGGATTCGAGGTATCCATCCTGTCCTAGCGCTGTCTGTGCTTTCTGCCCCCTACCTATTCACCTCTGCCCTGTGAGCCTCCACTGTGGACTCGATCCCAGGCTTGAAGTCTCAGTCCCTGTCCACCCCACCCCTCACTCCGGATATGGGGTATTTGCCCCTAGGCCCTCTCTTCTGCTTCTAGGGAACGTTTACATCCATCCATCGGCTAAGGTGGCGCCTTCTGCTGTGGTAAGTTGTGGACTCAGCCAGGATAACCGGATGGTTGGAGGCTGCTGGCCACTTCACTTTGTCCTCACCTCTTTGGAACCTTGAGCAGCTTCTGTTTTCGTATCTATTCATAGGGGATTGCACTTGGGGGTCCCTCACACCCATCCTAGGTTCATGGTATGTGCTTCTCTCCACAGCTGGGCCCAAATGTTTCCATTGGGGAGGGGGTCACCGTGGGCGAGGGTGTGCGTCTCCGAGAGAGCATTGTCCTCCACGGAGCCACACTGCAGGTAGGACTGGACCCTGGAAGCTGAGGGGAAGGCCTGAGATGAGCGAACCTCACCCACAGGCTCTGCATCTGACCTTCCCCCCAACCCACCCCCACCCCCTGCGTAACCTCAGCTGCCTCCCACCCCTCGTTACCTGGTACCCTCCATCCTCTCCCTACTCCCCTCACCTGCACTGTCCTGTCTGGCAGGAGCACACCTGCGTTCTGCACAGCATTGTAGGCTGGGGGAGCACCGTGGGGCGTTGGGCCCGTGTGGAGGGCACCCCCAATGACCCCAACCCCAATGATCCCCGAGCCCACATGGACAGCGAGAGCCTCTTCAAGGATGGGAAGCTGCTGCCGGCCATCACCATCCTGGGTACGCTCATCAGCGTGTATTCCACCTCCCGGGGGCCCAGGCCTGTGAGGTCTGGAGAAACCTCCACAGGGACTGGTCTTGGGGGTGGGGTGTGTGTGTAAATGCATGTACGTCCATTTACTGAGTGCTTGCGTGTGCCAGGCCCTGTGTGAGTCTTTGGGGGCATGAGGCCAGGGCAGGGAGGGATGTCACCGGATGGCCACAGACCCCATGATCTCCTGGGGTGCCCTGGTCACACTGCAGGCTGCCGGGTCCGGATCCCTGCAGAGGTGCTCATCCTGAACTCGATTGTTCTGCCACACAAGGAGCTCAGCCGCAGCTTCACCAACCAAATCATCCTCTGAGGGGACACCAGAAGGCCTCCCTACTCCCCTCGAGCTCCTATCCTTCCTGCCTGCCTGCCTGGCCAGCCTCAGTCTCAAAAGGCTTCGAGGAAGCCAGAATGGAATGACCCACGCTGGGAGCAATGTGGGTGGCCGAGGTACTCTGGCCTCCCTCCCTACTCCCTAATAAACCCCATGAACCTTGGAGCCAGCACTGACTCCCGCTTGTGCCTGGGCTGGGGGTGGGGGCGGAAGGGGGGCAGCTGAGTCAGCCCCCCCCCACATTAGCATTTAAATTGGAGTCGTTGCTGCGGGCTCATGAATAATGAATCCTGAGCCCGGGTAAGTCTCCCCTCCCACTGCCTCAGCCTCTTGCTCCGGAGGAAGGCCCGGCAGGCACTGCAGCAGTCTGGCCCCTGCCGTGGCCCCTGCTCCGCCCCCCCCTGTTCCTCTTCAGTGGACCTGGCTCACATTCTGGGCACCAGGCACCTGAAGGCAAGGGGAAGGACTCTGGTCTGGAAGCAGCTTGCCTGCGCCCCAGACTTGGAGGCAGATCACCCAGCAGCCTCTCCCCTCAGTCCCCACCGAGCCCCAGCCCTGGCCCGCTTTCTGCTTTGCCAGCTCCATCTGCTCCCAGCCTGGCTCTTGGCGAAGTGGGCCTTCTCCCCACCCGAGGCCTGTGTGTCTGTCTCCTGCTCCCCTGGCAGACTGGGCCAGCGGAGCGGGTGCCGCTCTCCCTAGAAGTGGGGGATGGGGATCTGTTCTGAGAGGCCCCCTCTCCACATTCCAGAAACCCCAAAGAAACCTATTCATCTACCATGTGTGCCCATGACCCCCCTGTGCCCCTTTTGGTGCCCCCCTTTCCCCAGCTGTGGGTGCAAAGCATCTTTGCCAGATGAGCTGGTAATGATCGTAATCTGCTAATTGAGAGGAATCTAATTACCCGAAGAGAATGGGGGGGCAGGGCGTGGGTGGGAGGGAGGAGAGGGTCCTGGTGGCAGACAGGGTGCTGGGGCCTTGTTATCAGTACCCAGGCCTGCTTCAGGGCGCAAGATGGCATCGTTTTGTAGCAGAAGTACTTTCTGGGAGCTCAGCTAAGGGGGAAATGTGGGACTGGATAGGCCCTGTAGGCTGGGTAAGCAGGTGGGAAGTGACCCAGGGCTGGGCAGTTCTGACTTCTCACCTGGCCCCTCTCCCCAGTGTCCTTGTCCCTTCCTCCAAGCCAGACCTCTGTCATTGCCCCTTAGAGTTGGGAGGGGTGGCAGTTACTCCCTGGGACTGGAGTCTCCTCCTTGAGGAAGGGGCAGGGAAAGGGGGGGGTGCCATGGGTCCAGGAGCTGAGTCCCTTTTGCCTCCTCCCCCACTCCTGACCCCTCTGTTCCGAGTGGTTGGCAGAGGCCATGGCAGCTCCATCATAAATATGATAATTTAATTATTTTCTCAGCAAAACACCGTGAAATCCAATAAGTCTGTGTCAGGCCCTGGCCCCCGGGACCCCCCTCCTAGGCCGGGGTGGGGGGTGAGGACTGGGTGGGAGTGGAATTGGAAGGGGAAAGGGTCAGTGTTTGGGGGAGGGGCAGCGAAGGGAAGTCTTCAACTGAGCCTGACTAGCCCCCCCCTCAGGGTCGCGGAGTCACTGTTGTTTGTGGGAGATGTCTAAGGAGAGAGGAGTCTGAAAACTCCCCTCTCTTTCCCCCTTTTTTCCATCCTTGTTACCCTGGGAGGAGTCTGGGGCCCCATCCAGCCTTGAGGGGACAGTCAGAGACTGACGACATAAGAGCTCTGCCTCAGGAGACGGGACAGAGCTGGGGGTGCCCATCCACCTCTGGGACCTTACGCTCAACTTTCATTGGCCCCATAGGGGTAGGAGGGCACTGGCCGTGGGAGGGATTGAGGCAGGAGAATCAGGAGGGAACTGGGCTGGGAAGTGGGGGATGAACAGGGGGAGGAATGCGGGGGAGGGGTGCGTTCCTGCCATTAGCGCTTTTTTTCGGTTTCCATAAAAAGATTATTCTGTAAAATCAGCGAGGGAGAGCGTACTGGGGGCCTGGGAGGGGGGTGGGTCCTTGGCACCAAACTGGATGGGGCGACGGGAGAAGAGCTAGGGACAGGGACAGAGTGTGGAGAGCAATTTGGATGGGCGTCAGGAGCCACGAATACAGATGGGAGAGGCTGGTCCGGCAGGGACAAGACCCCGGTACCCAGGACCCTGGTCCCAGCCCCAGCTCAATCTCCTCCCCTGGCCCTGGCACTTAGCAGCCATTATCGGGGGAGCAGATTGCAGCCCCCTCCCCTTCTCCGGGAAGCAGGCACAGCTGGGGCCCTGCCACATCTGCCGCATCAGCGCGGAGCACAGCTGGGTGTGCCCAGAACCAAGCTCCCCAAAACACAAAGAGGGGAGGGTGGGGCCAAGGAGAACCCAGACCCTTGAGACTGAGACTGACACCTCTGCCAACAGACACTTCTCAAGGCTCAGCTACACCTACCAACACGTTCCCTCGTGCGCAGACAAGAGAACTGACAAACAGGCAATTACTCTGCCCCGCCCGCCACCCCCGTTCTCCTCCCCCCCACCTCCTCTCCTCCTCCCTTTCCTTCCCCTCTAGCTCCCCACCGTCACCACGGCCACCTTGGAGCCGCCCTCGGCTGTCAGCTGAGGGGGGCAGGGACCTCCCACTCCAAGCACGCCCTTTGGGGAGGGCAGGAGGTAGAAGGTGCACCCAGGTCCTAGGTTCAGACTGGGGAAACCATCTGCCCTCGCTTTAAGCCCACAACCTTCCCCACAAGACAGCCTCTCTGGAACCCAAACTCGCCACAGCCTAGCTGGTTAACCTCTTGGACACGCCTTATACCATCAGCTCCCTCAAGGGGGCGCTATATGCCCTCCATCTCTAGCAGTTAGTCCAGGCTGGGGCACCGCAACCCCTGCCTGCGCCCCCAGTAACCAGTCCTCAGCAATTCTCAGCTCCGCTGCTGCCCCTGCTGTACGAGGGGCTCCCACAATGGTAGGAAAGCCCTGCCTTTCCGCAGTAGCCACCCCCAGAACAGATTATCTGGAGTCCCTTCTTTCCTCCCTCCTTCCAGTCAATGGTCACCCCTTGGACCGATTCCATCTTGTGCCCTTCGAAGCCCTCATTTTCCTCACTCATCTGCTTGGTCCTGATGTCTTACCCTCAACTCTCCCTGCCTCCCGCCATGTCCCACAGTGAGCGTCCCCCTTGCCCCTCCGAGCTTTAATCCCTCCCGCTGCTATACTACCTTATCTGCTCCCAGCAGCTTTCGCTGCTGCAAAGCCGTCTCCCCCTCCTTCCTGGGATCCTCTCCCTCTCCTTCCTGGCCTCCCTCTGCTCCCTGACCACCCTCCTCTCCCTGCCCCCCACCGGGAGTCTGCCACTCAGGCTCCTGACTGCCACCAGACCTGCACCCTTCCTTTTGCCCTTCCTCCAGCCCCAGCCAGCCTGCTACCTGTCCCCAGCCTCCTACCCTGAAACTGAGGAGCTGTCTTCACTAGGCCCCACAGATGTCTGTTCTGTCCAGCCTGGATTTTTCTTTTCTTCTCCCTGGCCTCCTCCCCAGTTCCTCTGAACACTCTCCATATTGGTCCTGGACCCCTCCCTTCAGTTCTGGTGACCCCCTGCCTTTACTTGGAGGTATACCCACATGGGAATAGGGGATAGAGTCATAGGAGAGGGTGTTAGGCTGAACCAGCCCTAGGAAGATGGGGTGAGGGGTGTGCAGAGTGCTGGCGGATAGTGGGGGCAGGGCCCGGGCAGCTGGACGCTAACCCTCTCCAGTCGCCTCAGATCACGTCCAGGACCCCACCCCCCATAGCTGGGACTCTCATTAACCACTTCTCCTGCCTCGTCTGCAGCATAAATAACCCAGATAAATCAGCTGCCGTCCGCCCCCCGCCCCTCGGCCCCCGCACAGCCCGTTTGTCACCGCTGCTCGCTCACCAGCCAGCCCTAGCCCCCCCATCCTTGTCCCTTCCCGCCCACAGCTGTCCCACACTGGCTCATCCCCTATCTGCATCAGGGCCAGGCTAGAAACAGGTGTCTGGTCTGGGGAGGTTACCAGAGAGTATCCCCTGGGATCAGAAGGCTAGGGACTCTAGGGTGATGCTGTATATACATCAGGGGCTCAGAAAGGCACACAGTTTGGGGGTGGTCCCCGAGAGCTAGGGTGTGGGAAGCTTCTCAAATCTTCCTTGGAACTCCAGTAGCCTTTGGGACTTTTTGCCCAATTAAAACCTCTAGATCTCTTCTTAATAGCACAGTGGATTACACTTTGAGCTGCTAACTGCAAGATCAGCAGTTCGAATCCATGAGACTTTTTGCAGGAGAAAGATGAGGCTTTCTACTCCCATAAAGATTTACAGCCTTCGAAACCCTATACGGGGTCGCTATGAGTTGGAACCGACTTGATAGCATGCAGACCTCTGCCGAGGTGCCTTGAGCTAGAATCATCCTGCCGTCCCAGTCGGTTCTCACCTCTGCCCAAAGTCTCTCTCACCTCGATCGTTCTTCCTATCAGCAGCCCTGGGTGGGTGAGGTGGGGTAGATAATTGAGCTATGAACAAATCTGAGGAATGGGGGAAATCGGAGGGCATAGGAACGTTGGCTAAGGCTTCACATCCTGACCCAGCAGAGTGTGAAGACACCCCGCCACATACACTCAGCCCTAGGGTCCTTAACCACCCCTTCCTCCTTGTACACACCCAGTTTAGGTTGAGGCCAGCCGCACTTGGCCCTGATGCGTCACTGCAAGGGGCAGCTGGTCCCCTGGGGATGAAGGGGAAGCAGGGAGGGTTGGGGGAGCCTGGACTCAGGACTGGGTGGGGGTGGGGAAGAAGCTGGGCCGGGCCCCAGGGACCAGCTGGGCAATGAGCCGGGGAAGCAGCCGGGAGGCTAAATGAGGGAGATTATCACCCAACTGCAGCAGGGCAGAGAGGGAGGCAGGCAGGGAAGCGGGGAGAGGGAGAGTGGGGACGGGGACCAGAGGCGAAGGGGGTGTAAAGGGAAGGAGGGGGCCAGAGGAACCCTGGGAAGAGTGGGGGGGGCAAGAGATGGGCTGGAAGGAAGAGAAGGAATTCCCACTGAGCATAACCAGATTCCTGGGGAGACTGGGTGATGCAGACAGGGGCAATTAGACAGCTGACTGTGGGGCAGTGGGAGGGCTGGGAGCAGCTAATTACTGCTCCACTTCCAAGTGGCCAGACCCCCACCCATACCCAACTTTATTCCTTACAGAGGTCAAAAGCTTCCTGCTATTCCTGCAGGAAGAAAGCATGTGGAGTGGGCTTATGGTGGAAGCTAGGTGTAGGGAGTGGGGGTGACCCCCAAGATCTGTGACTGGCAGGAAATTTCAGGGGTTATGTGTAGACTCCAGGGCAGCAAGGGCTACTGGGGAGAGCTTGGGGGACAGCTCCCCGTCTTCTTGGCAGAGCCCCAGACTGAAGTAACCTTAAAAAAGCAATTAAATCACCTTAAAAAAAAAAAACTCAGTAAAGGAAAAATCAATCGTAGGAGAAAGGGGAAGAGAGAAGGATGGGGGCAGGGAGGGCTGGGGAGTCTACTAGGGAGGGGCTGCCCGGAGAGGGGACAGAGAAAGTGGACAGTCTGTACCACTTGGACGCTCGTGTTAGTTTAGCAGCTGCTTCCAGGGCCAACCCCACCTTCCTCTCTGGAGTACCGGATGGATGCTGTCCCGACCCCAGGGTTGGGTCATTCCAGTTTATGGCACCATCTAGAAGCTTCCGGGGAGCCTAGCTGTGGGACCCCTGGGGAGCTTACTTTGCTCAGTGTTGGAAACAACCCAAGCAGGGTCCCAAGCGTGGCCAGAGCTGGGTGTGTGGGTGGGCTGCAAGCTGGGTGACCTGTGAGGGGACCTGACCTAGCCTCATGGCCAGGTGGGCAGTGTTTCCTTGCCACCTCAGGAGTCACCCCTGAGCCCCTCCCCCTCGGCCAGACCAGGGCTGTGGCTGGCAGGACTGGCCTGACACTGGGGAGGGGTGGCCACTGGGCAGCGGCGGGTGGACCTCGGGCTCTAATCCCCAGCAGCTGCCGTTTCCCTCAGATCGATTCCTTCTCACTTTTTTTTTCAGCTGCTGGTTCCGCGGCTCGGATCGATGGAGCTGCCTCCCCCGCCCAACCGTGCTTCCTCTCTCTGCTGCTCATTAGTGCCCCGATTAATCAGCCCCCTCTTCCTCAGAGGGACAATTGCTTCCTTCCCCTGAAGGGTTCATGCTCTCACGAGGGTCCCCAAGGGCATAGCTGCTCACTTTCTGAAACCCCCCTCAACCCTTGGAGCACTAATGTGGTCCCTCTAACAGTGTTCCCCAGCTCTGCCTGAAGTGACAGTCCATAGGCCTGCTTCCCCCTCCCCAGGAGGAAAGCCCCCAAGGGGTGACCCTGCCCCATTCTTCAGGACAGCCAGGAACCCCTGCATCTGGTTTCTTAGGACAGCAGCTCCTCCTGGGAAAGCCAGCCCCTGTCCCCAGTCTCCCCAGCACGCCCACTTGGGGTCTTCCTCTCCCTCCATTCCATACATTCCCTCCCCACATATAAAGTCTCCCCTACATCCTCCCTGTCCCCTGGTCTGCTCCCCAACCCCTCCCTAGCCTGGCTGCGACAAGGAATTTGGCGACATTTGGTGAAACAAATGCACAATTGAGTCCAGGAGGATGCCCTCTGTCCCTGATGCATGAGTGATTGAGATTGGGGTCCAAGTTGGGGAGTGGGAGGCCAGCCTCCCCAAAGGGGTGGGTGCAAGGTAGATGTTGAAGTCTGCAGTCAAGCTCTAGGAGAGCTAAGAATCTTGGTGGAGTCTGAGTTACCCCCTTGTCTGTCTTGCCTGCTTTCTTCTCTCCCTACCCTCATTCAAACAAGTGGTCTTCCAAGGAGTTTCTGGCAGGGCTAGTAGGGTGAGGTGGTGGTTGGGTGCTGGAGTCCGGGAGGTTGGGAGAATTGGGTAATCCTCATAGGGTGTGGTCTCCAAAAGTGGCAAAGAGGAGCTGAGGACTCCATGCAGTACTCTTCTCTGGGTGGCCTGGGAGTGGGGCCAAGTGGGGTCCCCATAAGTAGCTAGGGTGGATGGAGTAAGAGTTTTGGGGACGGCTTGATGAGGTCTCAAGCAGGAACGACTGGGGATCCCTGTCCCAGGCTAGGGGCTGTCCCCGACCCGACTCCTGCCACCCGTGCTGCCGGTGAAACGCTCTTGACATGTCCTGAATTATTAAGCACGGGGTGGGCTCCGGAGCACATGCTGAGTGGAACGGCTGGGGCTACGCGGCGTGGAGCAGCGCTCGCTCCCTCGCTCGCTCGCTTGCAGGGACACACGCAGGGGCTGACAGCTGTGCTGGTGCTGATAAGGGAAGCCACAAGGAGACGATCGAGGAGAGAGACAAGCGGCAGCAGAGGCAGCGGCGGCAGCAGAGGCGGCTCCAGGGCTTTGGAGCTGCTGGGGAGTGGGAGTGACGCCCCCACCTCAGGGCCCCCACCCTGTCCCTGTCCTCCTCCCGCTTGCCCTGAGTTTAGAAGAACAGCCTCTGCCACTGCCGCCGCACCGGGGCTGCTGGCCAGGGAGGGACAGGGGCAGCAAGGCTCCGGCCAGTCCCAGCAGCCGGGGACAGATGCCGATCGAGATTGTGTGCAAAATCAAATTTGCTGAGGAGGATGCGAAACCCAAGGAGAAGGAGGCAGGGGATGAGCAGAGCCTCCTGGGGGCTGCGCGGGGGGCTGCAGCCCCCCGGGACCTGGCCACCTTCGCCAGCACCAGCACCCTGCACGGGCTGGGCAGGGCCTGTGGTCCGGGCCCCCATGGACTGCGCAGAACCCTGTGGGCACTGGCCCTACTCACCTCATTGGCAGCTTTCCTTTACCAGGCATCCAGCCTGGCCCGGGGCTACCTCACCCGTCCTCACCTGGTGGCAATGGACCCTGCTGCCCCAGCCCCAGTGGCAGGCTTCCCGGCTGTCACCCTCTGCAATATCAACCGCTTCCGGCACTCGGCACTCAGCGATGCCGACATCTTCCACCTGGCCAATCTGACAGGGCTGCCCCCCAAAGACCGGGATGGGCACCGTGCGGCCGGCCTGCGCTACCCAGAGCCCGACATGGTGGACATCCTCAACCGCACTGGCCACCAGCTTGCCGACATGCTCAAGAGCTGCAACTTCAGTGGGCACCACTGCTCTGCCAGCAACTTCTCTGTGGTGAGTTCTGCCAGCTGGCCTGCCCGGCCCAGGGTGGCCAGAGGCTGGAGGGGAGGGAGAGTGTGTGGGGCCATCCTCCACAGGGCTTCCCTTCCTTCCGTCACCAGAGGCCGGCCTGGTGTCTCCCCCCCAGGTCTGGTGTTTCCCTCTGGCTTCTCAGCCACGGAGCTGGGGGTGCTCGTAGGGACTTACCCTGCTGCTGCTCTCCTGGGTTCTGCTGCTCCTGCAAGGCCAGGTTTGGGGGTCCTGAAGCTGGTCAGCTTGCAGGGAAGGGATGCACCCTCCCAAGGCCAAGCCAATGGACCCCCATCTTCCTTTTGCTTCTGTGGCTAAGGGACCCCTCTCTCCACTGAGCTGAGAGTGATGGGGAGGGAGTGTTTGGGAGGGGGGCTCCATCTGGGAAAGGAGTCAGGACTGCCTTTTGGGGAGCTGGCCTGACTGGTAGGCTGGATCCAGAGGACCGAGGTGGACACTCTGCCAGCGCCTCTCTGCCTCTGTGGGTCTCACACCCCTTTCTCAGACTCCCCACACACATCCTTCTTTCATGCTGTCCCTTCCCAGCCCTCGCTCCCCAGGCCCTCCCTCTGGCTGCTCCCTTGCCCGTCTCTGGCTCTTACACTGAGAATCACTCATTCACTCTTATGTTCATAACTCACCCTGGCTGCTGCCCAGCGCTCTATCTCTCTTTCTCTCTCTCTCTCTCTCTCTCTCTCTCACACACACACACACACACACACACACACACACGCTCCTGCTGGGGACAGTTTCTTGCACACCACCTCACTCGGTGTACCTGTCACTACGCTCACTTGCACACCTGCACACCCACACACCAGGCGAGCCACTCATTTCCATGCTCACATCCCAGTTCTGACTTTGCTGTTAAAGGTAGGGTCACACTGTAGATGCCAACCCCCTGTGGGGTCACACTGTGAATGCCACCCTGTCACATGTGTGGAGAAGCATTGGGAACTGGTGTGGTCCCTCACCCATGCGTGTGACAATGGGTGTGTGCACCTTGTACGCTGTCTATCTGTCAGGGTTCCGTTCACCCAGTCTCAAGGTATCTATTATTCATGGTGCAGGAGACAGACGCCTGTCCCCAGCCTGGTTCACTTCCAGCATAGTGGATGTGTTTGCATCCCTGTCACCAGTGCCCGGTGCATATGCAAATATGTGGCATCAACATGGTGCCCACTCAAGCTGAGCCTCCAATGCCAGCCTCAGAGATGGGGGCTTTCCTTCCTCACTGCCTCCGCCAGACCCCCGGTTCTCATTCACTCACTCACTGCCTCCAGCTAGCTTCCTGGCCCCCACCAAGCCTGCTCCTCTGGTACCTCCTTCTGCTGGGTGCTGGGAGTTGGGGAGGAATCAGAAAAGGGACAGGAGGGAGATTGTCTAGAAGTCAGGGAGCAGTGGCCACATGGCCTGTTGTCCTGCTGTGTGGCTAAGAAAAAACAGTTCTAGTTCCCCCAATCCAGGGCTGGTGGGGTGTGGGGCATGAATGTGGCCTCTAGGACCCCTGGACTCCTCTGTCCTACATCCTGACCTGGCCAAGTTGGAGAGGGGGGCAGAGCCCAGTCTCAGCAGGTGCTGGTGGGGCAGAAATCAATGGGGTCTTTGTGTTTCTGAGCAGGAGGGAGTTTGTCTCAGGCCCCTGTTAGGGGTGGGCAGGAAAGAGGAAGGGTAATGAAACCTCAGTGGAGGGCAGTGAGGAAAGGGGGCAGACAGGCAGGGGGGTTCCTGCCTGGCCTCTAGGAAAGGATGGGGATGTCTGGAGGTTATAGGAGCAGGGATTCTCCGGGTCAGGCATCTTGGAGGTGGCTAGGAAGGGGAAGGGGGACTGTTTCCCTTTGGTATTCTGGGAGCTGGAGAGGGAAGTTTTGGGGATTCAGCTACACAAGACAATGAGTGGGGATGTGGGGCAAAGCAAGCATGGGGGCCAGGAGTTCCCCTCCTCCTCCTCCTCAACTCAGCTAGCCTTTCCTTTTCCCATCTGCCTCAGCGCAGCCTAGCCCCTTAGCCTTTGTCATGTCCCTCTTCCCCTCTGCTGAGTGTCATGCTTCCTTGGAGCCCGCAGCCTGATCTGAGTCTGCTGCAACTCAGAGACTGTTGGAATCAATGGGTTAGGATGAAAGCCCAGGAATGTTTGGGAACTGGAGAGGAAGGGCTGGGGTCTGATGAGGACCTGAGCCCAGGGTGGACTCTGTGAAGGAAAGCTGGGTGCAGGAACCAGTGGGCAGGGAATCAGTTAGAACATGGATTGTGAGCCAGGCGCTGACAGCAACAGCTTTGGGTAAGGGGCTGTAATGTGTTTTCTGTTGCTTTCCTCCTGTTTCTTCCTCCCCACTCCCCACTCTGCTGTGACCTTTCCTCTGGAATCCAAGTTAATAAATGTCACATTTTCCAGCCTATTTTTACTCCGGGTAATGCACCCTCCCCCAGTCCCTTAAGCTGCTGCTCTTGCTTCTGCTACCACCGTAATCACTCTCACCCCCACGTTCCCAAAGATCCCCTCATTTACACCCCATCCGACAGTCAATCAATCAGTCCACATGAGGCTCCGGAGAGCCTACTATCTATGTGTCAGGCTCCCTGCTCGTGGCTGTGGGACGGAACAAAGAGAGGAAAGCCCAGGTCCCTGTCCTCAAGCAGCCTACGGTCTTGTGGTGGAGTGGGGACAGGGGCACTCAGAAGCTTAACCAACCATGCAAGAGTTAACCAGCCATGCGTACCATGTCATAAGGTGCCAAAATTAACTGCCAAACAAGCTGCATGGATATAAGAGCCTGAGTTCAGATGGAGCAGCCACTCTGGGCTGAAGAGGGCTGGGAAGGCTTAAGGGATGAGGTAGGCTGGGCGAGGTTTGGAGAGGAGACAGAAGAAAGGGCTCCGGGTGGTGGGGAGGCTCTCTCTCTCCAGTCATGTACTCTTCCACCTAGAGCTTCTTCACCTCTTCTCCTCCTGTGTCCGCTCTTCACTGAGCCTCATACTGACCCGCTCCCACCTACAGCTCCTACACTCACACCTTCTAATGGCTCTTGGTTCCTTCTCTCTCCCACATCCATCGGCTCCACACCCCGATGCTCCAAGTCCCATCTATTTTAGCCCACCTCCAAGGCTTGTCCTCAGCCTGCCCACTGACTAAACTCTCTATTATCAAGTCAATTCCAACTCCTAACAACCCTATATAGGGTTTCTGAACTATAAACCCTTACTGAAGCAGACGGCCTCATTTTTTTTCCGTGGAGTGACTAGTGGATTTGAACCACCAACCTTATGGTTAACAGCCGACACCTAATCCACAGTGCCTCGAGAGCTCCTTGCCCACTTACTGTTGGTGTTGTTGTTAAGTGCCGTCAAGTCAGTTCCGACTCATGGAGACCCTGTAGAGGGTTTACAACAAGCAGCTGGTGGATTTGAACTGTCGACCTTGTGGTTCACAGTCCAGTGTTGAAAATTCTTTCCTCCCTAGGCTTAGTTTCTTTATGCACAGGTTATCCTAAACTTCAGCACCTTCTCTCACCTGGAATCTATATAGGGAAACAGCCCAGTGTGTGGGATCTGGAACCAGATTGTCTAGATTTGAACTTTGACTCTACCCTTTAAGCTGTGTGGCCTGGGGAAGTCAAAGGTATTCATTAAATAGGATATTTGTTGTTAACTGATGCTGGCTTGGTTTCTGCATCATGGTGACCCCATGCACAATAGGACCAGGTTTTTGTTGACTGATTTTTGGAAAGTAGGTTACCAAGCTTTTCTTCCTAGTCCTCTTCATCTGGAAGTGCTACTGAAACCTTGAAAGTTTCATAGTAACACTCTAGCCTTCAGTGACAGACCGAGGTGGCTGCACCTGAGATGCACTGACTGGGAATCGAACCCAGGTCTCCTACACAGAAGACAAGAATGCCACCACTGAATCCTCAAACCCCAAGCCCACTGCCATTGTGGTGATTCTGCCTCACAGTGACCCTCTGGGACAGAATGGAACTGCCCCTTTGGGTTTCTGAAGTTATAAATCTTTACAGAAGCAAGCAGCCTCATCCTCCTCCCCAGGAGCAACTGGAGGGCTCAAACTGTTGAATCCTTGTTGTTGTTGTTGTTAAGTGCTGTTGAGTCAGTTCTGACTCATAGTGACCCTGTATGGAGTTACCAAAGATTGGCTGGTAGATTTGAACCACCAACTTTGTGGTTAGCAATCCAGTACTTACCCTATAGCAACATACCAAGAGTCTTGTTGTTAAGTGCCATTGAGTCAATTCCGACTCATAGCCACCCTGTATAGGGTTTCTAAGGAGCAGCTGGTAGATTTGAACTGCCAACCTTATAGTTAGCAGTGCAGTGCTTATCTCACAGTGCCACACAGAATTCCTGGCGGTGGTGGTTATGTGCTGTGGAGTTGGTTTTGACTCATAGTGACCCTGAACAGGGTTTCCGAGGCTGTAAATCTTCACAGCAGCAGAAAGCCTCATCTTTCTCCCGCGGAACAGCTGGTAGTTTCGAACTGCTGACCTTGCAGTTCACAGCCCGATTTGTAAACACTACGCTACCAGAGAGGATGTCTGTAAGGGCTCACCTCGTTATCTGACATGCAGTACACACTCTGTAAATGTTAGCTGTTGTAAGCGTTGCCACCCTTGTCCTGGTTATTGCAGTCTGATGGTTCTCAGCACCACCTGCTGCTTTCTGACCCCTGTGCTGGCATCAGCTCCTCCCATCACCCAAGCCCCAGGCCCACTTTCTCTATCCTACCCTAGCATCTCTCTCTATCCAACCTGCATATGATGTGCACATACTCTCCAGGGATGGCCAATAAAACGTCCTGTGATGATGGAAATGCTCCCTACCAATGTGGTCCAGTGTGGCAGTCACTAGCCACATGTGGCTTTTGAGCACTTGAAATGTGGTTTGTGTGACTGAGAAGCTGAGATTTTCATTTAAATAGCAACATGTGGCTAGTGGCCACCGTATTGGAGAGTGCAGCTCTAGCTGGCTCCGGA